GTTCGGTGGAACCCAGCAACTGGGTTCGGTGGAACCCAGCAACTGGGTTCGGTGGAACCCAGCAACTGGGTTCGGTGGAACCCAGCAACTGGGTTTACTGAACCTAGCAAACTGGGTTCCACTGGAACCCAACAGATCTGGGTTCGGTGGAACCCAGCAACTGGGTTCCAGCTGGGTTCGAGGAACCCAGCAACTAGGTTCCGTCGAACCCAGCTCCAATTTTTTGTTTTTTTTTATTATTATATGTTTGTTTGCGAAGATTATCCAAGTTGCAGGTTGTGAGGGATTTTTGGATCTTTTTCTTCATATTTTTTAAGTATTATCTAAATGATTTCAATGTTCAAAATGGAAAGAACAGAAGCAATTGGGCAAAGGTGGGTTTCCATTTGTTTGGCTGGAAAATGGTATGGTTTGGGTGTTTGGATGCTGAGAAAATGCTTTAAATTTGTTTGGTTGCCGAGATTGGTTAACGACAATTTATAATGTTCGTTAAAGAAAGAAAATTTGATGAGAACATTGTTATTCGGGTAAATATTTAATTTAATTTGTTATATTATTAAAAAAAATAAAAAATATCACTTAATTTTTTATGTCATCAAAAGATATTTTTTTATTAGTATGTGGGACCCATTTGAGTAGATTTGGTGCCATGTCATCAAAAAACAAATTTCTTTATTAGTGATGTGAGACCCATTTAAATGGATTTGGCACATAGTAACATGACATGTCAAAATATTTGTCCATGTCATCACTTTTCTAAATTTTACTCTCCACATCATCAAAAAAAATATAAAAAATGCCACATAAACGAAGTTAACGGCTCAAATTAACAGAAGGACTAACAGAGTGCATTTCTTATAATTGAGGGATCAAAAAAGTGCAAAAAATTGTTAAGGGATCAAAAATATGCATTTTTTAAAGTTGAAAGACCAAATTTAGCATTTAACCTTTTTACTTTTCACACAGGTAACCATTTGGGTCACGTGGAGAATGCAATGTAACTCTGAAATTTGAAATCCCTGAATAATGAATATTCCCATTCCCATAAGGATCCAACCGGACTTACAAGAAACATGCCGACCTTCACCGTTGTTAGGACAAAACCTATGTAAAGAAAGAAATTTCTAACCCAGGCAGACGAACAAACTAAGCACAGTGACAAGGCGAT